ATCATCAAAATTAACTTTTCTGCATCAAAAGACTCTATCAAGAAAGTGAAAAGGCAACATAAAGAATGGTACAAAATATTTGCAAATCATGTATCTGATTAGGTATTAATACCCAGAATACATAAAGAACGCCCACAACTCAACAACAAAAAACCCAATTCAAAAATGGGCAAAAACACAAATGTATGGCCAATTAATCTTTTTAAATGTTTTTTTTTTTTTTAATTTATTTCTAGGAGAGAGAGAGAGAGACAGCGTGAGCAGGGGAGGGTCAGAGAGAGAGGGAGTCACAGACTCAGAAACAGGCTCCAGGCTCTGAGCTGGCAGTCAGCACAGAGCCCGACGCGGGGCTCGAACCAACAAACCGCAAGATCATGACCTAAGCGAAAGTTGGACACTTAACCGACTAAGTCACCCAGGCGCCCCTGTATGGCCAATTAATCTTTGACAAAGCGAAAAAGAGTATCCAATGGAAAAAAGACAGCCTCTTTAACAGATGGTGCTGGGAGAACTGGACAGCAACATACAAAGAAAGAAATAGATCACTTTCTTACACCATACACAAAAATAAGCTCAAAATGGATGAAGGACCTGAATGTAAGACAGGATATCATCAAAACCCTAGAGGAGAAAGCAGGAAACAACCTCCTTGAACTCAACCACAGCAATTTCTCACTTGACACATCCCCAAAGGCTAGGGAATCAAGAGCACAAAAATGAACTACTGGGACCTCATCACGATAAAAAGCTTCGGCATAGCAAAGGAAACAATCCATAAAACTAATAGGCAACTGACGGAATGGTAAAAGATAGTTGCAAATGACATATCAGAGGCTAGTATCCAAAATCTATAAGGAACTCAACAAAGTCCATACCCGAAAAACAAATAATCCAGTGAAGAAATGGGCAGAAGTGATGAAAAGACACTTTTCCAAAGAGGACATCCAGATGGCCAACAGACACATAAAACATTGCTCAGCGTTATCAGAGAAATACAAATCAAAACCACACTGAGATACTACCTCACACCAGTCAGAGTGGCTAAAATGAGCAAATCAGAGGACTCTAGATGCTGGCGAGGATGTGGAGAAACGGGCACCCTCCTACACTGTTGGTGGGAATGTAAACTTGTGCAGCCCCTCTGGAAAACAGTGTGGAGGTTCCTCAAAAAATTAACAATAGAACTCCCCTAGGACCCAGCAATAGCACTGCTAGGAATTTACCCAAGGGATACAGAAGTGCTGATGCATAGGGGCACATGTACCCCAATGTTCATAGCAGTGCTTTCAATAGCCAAATCATGAAAAAAGCCTAAATGTCCATCAACTGATGAATGGATCAAGATGTGGTTTATATATACAATGGAATACTACATGGCCATGAGAAAGAATGAAATCTGGCCATGTGTAGCAATATGGATGGAACTCGAGGGTGTTAAGCTGAGCGAAATAAGTAAGGCAGAGAAGGACAGATACCATATGTTTTCATTTATAAGTGGAACAGGAGAAACTTAACGCAGGACCATGGAAGAGGCGAAGGGGGAAAACAGTTGGGGAGAGGGAGGGAGGCAAACCATGAGAGACTCTTGAATACTGAGAACAAACTGAGGGCTGATGAGGATAGGAGAGAGGGGAAGGAGGGTGATGGGCATGAAGGAGGGCACTTGTTGGGATGAGCACTGGGTGTTATATGGAAGCCAACTTGACAAAAAACTAAAAAAGAAGAAAAAAAAACCCAAAAATGGGCAAAAAGCTTGACATTCCTCCAAAGAAGACACAAAGATGGCCAATAAGCATATGAAAAAATGTTCAACATCACCAATCATTAAGGAAATGTAAACCAACATTATAACGAGCTACAACTTCACATCTATTAGGTCAGTTATTACAAAAAAGCTTGCGAGGATGTGGAGAAATCAGAACCCTTGTGCACTGCTGATGGAAATGTGCAATGGTAGAGCAACTATGGAAAACAGTATAGTAGTTAAATATAAAATTACTAAATGAAAACTGGTAAAAATCTAACAAAAAAGTTAAATATAAAATTATCATATGATGCAGCAATTCCATGTATGGATATATACACAAAAGAACTAAGATTGGGGCCTCAGAGATTATTTGTACACCAATGTTCATAGCAGCATTATTCCACAATAGCCAAAAAGGGATAACAACTCAAATGTCCATCAACATTTGGTTGGATAAACAAAATGTAGTATTATAAATACAATGAAATATTATTTAGCTTTAAAAAGGAATGAGATTCTGATATATGCTACAACATGGATAAACCCTGAAAGCATTATAAATGAAGTATGTCAGACAGAAAAGGGCAAATATTAAATAATTCCACTTAAAGGTATCTAGAATAGTCAAATTCACAGACAAATTAGAATGACTGCCAGTAGCTAGGGTTGGGGGGGCGGGGGGAAGGAATGGGGAGTTGACTGTTTAATGGATAGTTTCAGTTTGGAATGATGAAAAAACTCTGAAGGTGGACAGTGGTAATGGTTGACTGACAATGTGAATGTACTGAATTCCTCTACATTGTACACTTAAAAATGATAAAATGGTAAATTCTATGTTATGTGTATTTTACCACAATAAAAAAAGGTTAAAAAGAAAAAAAAAACACATATAATTTTTTATTGGCCAAATGTAGAACTACAGTATGGTGGTAGCAATAAGAAACTTAGCAGAGTGATAACCTCACTTTTCTTCCCCATGTTAGAGAATGCATTCAAATATACTCCCTTCACTTAAAAAGCTTCCCAGCAAGGGGTAGTGATTAGGGAAAGTCAAGTCTGCATGGAGGTGAGGTATTCTCAAAACATCTGAGGCTAGAAGTAAATTTCTTAGAAACACAAAAGTAGTTTAAAATTACACAGTGTAGGGGCGCCTGGGTGGCTCAGTTGCTTAAGCGTCCAACTCTTGACACTAGCTCAAGTCATGATCTCACAGTTCGTGAGTTCAAGCCTCCAGTTGGGCTGTGCTGGCAGTGCACAGCCTACTTGGATTTTCTCTCTCTACCCCTCCCCTGCTCTTTCTCACAAAATAAATAAACTTTAAAAAAAGAAAGAAGGGAAGCTGGTCAGAGAATTGACCCTGAAGAGCCTCAGGCTCGAAAAGGATCTGCTTTGTAAGTTACAAATAAGAGTAAACCTTCATTGAGTATTCGCTATCTGCCAGCCAATGTTCTAATAAGCACTTTATATGCATTACATGTTTTAATAAAATTGGCCTTGGTGACTCTGCCTACAACCAAATTTTTGCTCTTCTTAATTCCACAAGGTTAACTTAATAGTATAAACAGTCTGGCTATGGCATGGATGTCTGAAACCAACTGCTTTCAGATATTTAAGTAAGGTCTTTTAAAATTACACAGTTAAATTTATTTCCCCTCAACAGCATCTCTCCAATAAACTACTACATGCATACACATAAGTGCATAAAAACTGCATTTAAATAGTAAAAAGAAGAGTAGATAATGATACCCTTTAACCCTTTAAGCCTTACATTTAGTCCAACCTTACATTTGTTAATGTAAAATTATCAATGACTATAAAACTCTGTTATAGGCAAGTCAGCCCCATATGGAACCCCATACTTTTAGTGTTTTATTTTCTAGTCCTTCTCCCACCCCAATTCCCACCTCTGACTCTAAAATATAAATAATTTTGGGGCGCCTGGGTGGCTTAGTCGGTTAAGCGTCCGACTTTCGCTTAGGTCATGTTCTCGCAGTTCGTGGGTTCGAGCCCCGCGTCGGGCTCTGTGCTGACTGCCAGCTCAGAGCCTGGAGCCTGTTTCAGATTCTGTGTCTCCCTCTCTCTCTGACCCTCCCCTGCTCACGCTGTCTCTCTCTCTCTCCTAGAAAGAAATAAAAATAAAAATAAAAAAATATATATATATAAATAAATTTAATGGGCTTTTTGGATTATAAAAAAAGACACTAAATGCTATAATTTAAAAATATATATGAAATGTAAAAACACCTAAAAGTCACCTCAAATGGCTATTTATTTACATTAACAACCATAGTATAAATTACTACCAGATAATAAATGACCTAAAAAATAGTGCAAATTAAGCAATAAGAAATTATATACTAACATTTCAATCTACATTCTTTTTGGTAACTGAAAATACCTTAATATTTTTAGTATTAAAGATTTTCAATTCTAATGTTGAAATGTAAATAAGCTAACAACTAATTCTTACCAACTTCATGAACAGTTTTAGTTGTTTTTTAAAAGTATCTGCAGGCATCAAATTTTTCTGTTTTTATTTGAGAGAAAGAGAGAGCATGCACAAGTGGCGGAGGGGCTGAGAGCGAGCGAGGGAGAGAAAATCCCAAGCATGCAATGTGCTGTCAGCACAGAGCCTGATGGGGGCCTTATCTCACAGGAATGACCGGAGCCAAAATCTAGTGTCAGACACTCAACCAACTGAGCCACCCAGGCGCCCCTGCATGAATCAATTTTTAAACTTTACACTTAACTTTACACTAAAAATTATCCTTCAGAACTAAGATTTTTGCCCAATGCCTTCAATCAAGACTAATTTATTGCCTTTCAATAATCAAAGTACTTTTGGGAATGTGGAAAAATACAATTAGGTTTCATTCCTTTTGTTAATGTAAAATTATCAACAACTATAAAACTGTCTGTTATAGGCAAGTCAGCCCTACATGGAGCAGCACAAACAGCCATGGAAGCCACACAATTTAACTTGGAGGGGTTCTATAAAAAATCTACCAGTGCTGAAAATGTCTACCATCAGAATCATCCCTTTAGGTTACTGCATTATTTTCAGAAAACATTTGTTCAAATGTAAATGTTCACTAGGAAAGAGGAATTATTATATATACATATAAAAGTTCATACTTTTTTAAACTTAAGGAGTAAAAATTAACTGGTAATTAAGAGTATTTAGATTCACTCCTTAAAGGAAAATAGAGATCAAGTACTAAAATGCTTATATATTCAAAGTAATGATACTTACCTCTAAAATTTGACCAGCTCTAAGTAGTGGGTGCCCATCAGCCTGGACCACTGTTACCTGATGGGGAGACTGTGACAGAATGCTGGAAGAGCTAGCACAAGTCTAAAAATAAAGAGAAAACACAAGAACACTTTTTCTTTATATAATATTAAACCTAGGCAAAGTTTAAAGGTCACTAAAACACTACCTAAGGGACACCTGCTGTATACTTACGTTTGATATAACCCTGTGGTGGATACTACATGGTCCCTGATAGTGTTTTGTGGTCACCTAAAAAAATGCAGAGCTCTTTTATAGGAGCCTAAAGAAGGTGTCTCAAGCCTCTACACTCATCTATACAGTAAGACAATTTATAGAATGCAAATAGAACCTAGTTGAGGTCATAATTAAATTCAAAATAACATTGTTTTAAAATAAGGTATGAGAGGTGCCTGGGTGGCTCAATCGATTAAGGATCCGACTCTTAATCTTAGCTCAGGTCTTAGCTCAGGTTTTGAACTCTTTTGAGTTCAAGCCCCACATTGGGTTCCACACTGAGTGAAGCCGAATGAATGAATGAATGAATAAGATAACGTGTAAAATGTTTTTTTTTTTTTTACAAAGCTTTATGATATGAACATGGCTTAGTATTTTAAAAAGTAAAATTAAGATGTCTTATAGTCCATAAATGCTTCATTTTTATACTCTTACCTTAGATTGGTCAAGAACTTGACATTTTTCCCATACTAATTTATCATTTTCAAATTTTTTCCAAGGATTGTTCCATTTTTCAGAAGCTTCTTTTTCTTTCTTCTTTAAAGCAACCTGTTCATCTGTAAATAATGTCCTTTTTAAAAAAAATGTATAAAAACTGTAAAAAAAAAATCATGTAAACAAATCATGACCTTAAAGAGTACAGATTCCAACACCGATCTAATCAAAATTGTTTTTAGGGAGATTAACTCACAAGACAGAAGAATTTTAAGAAATACGGAATAAAAGAAAACATTTAACCAGAACCAAACTTTATGTATGGCACAAATGGATATAAAAATGTTTATCACAACTGGCAATAAAAAGCAATTTTTTCAAGAACATATTTTATATCATGTGAATTATTCTGAGCTTCTACTTTCCTATAATGTTCATTCAGGTAATACTAAGAGACTGAAAGCTAGACCTCTGGATTCTGAGAACCCTGTAATCAAATCCAAGTTCAACCACTTCCTATCTGTGTAATTGGGAGCAAATCGCTGTTCACCTTTCTAAAACTCAGTTTCTTCTTTTGTAATATGAATACAGGGCCTAGCACAAGGTAAATATGTAATAAATGCCATTATTATTCTGCTGAATAGCAAAAAAAAAATCTTGTGTCTAACAAACTGATATGAAAACAACTAGGTCCCAAATCAACAGTTCTTAAAAATTCAGAGATGTACAGGGGTACCTGGGTGGCTCAGTCAGTTAAACGTCTGACTCTTAGTTTCAGCTTAGGTCATGGTCTCACAGTTTCATGAGTTAGAGCCCCAGGTCAGGCTCCACACTGACAGTGCAGAGCCTGTTTGGGATTCTGTCTCCCTCTCTGCCCCTCCCTACTCATGTTGTCTCTGTCTCTCTCAAAAATAAATAAACTTTTAAAAAATCAGAGATGTATAAATCTAAATTTCAGAAAATTAATGAAAGCAGGAGTTTAACAAAGAGAATCATGGTTTCCTAACAGTATCAAGTAAAAGAAAGTAAACTCTTTTTAGATAATAAAACATAAAACACTTCACTCATTTCCAAGTAGTTCCATCTTACTTCAGAAGTTTGTTATTACAGTCTGATAAGCAAAATGTGTATTGGAAGAAAATATTTAAAGCTGAAATTATAATGACACAACAAACCTCCAAACCTTCAGATACTGCTACCATACATTTAATTTCTTCAAACTTCTGTTACCTTGACTTCCAACATCAACAATTCATTCTCAATTTCTTCTGCTTATCTCTTTTTCTATATCACCTGTCTTATCACCAATACGACGGCCTCACAAGACTTCCTAGCTGAATGGAGGGTGAAGCCCATCTTTAACCTTTTAGTACAGCTATTCTTAAGAAATACAACTGTTACTTCACATATTTTCCAAATTCTGTTACCTGGACCATAAGTGTAGTCCAAGAAGAAGAGTTTCTTAGTTATTATCAAAATTTTAAGCCTCTTAACAGAAATTATAAATTATTCTGTTAAAAAGTCTACAGATTGGAAAAAAGCAGTAAGCTTGTCTTTGTATGGAATATACTCACTGATACCATATTAATGATTTCTGATCAGATTGTTTTCTTTACCTTAAAAATGAACCCAATTCATTTGCATCTTGGTAGCTCAGTCGGTTAAGTGTCCAACTTCAGCTCAGGTCATGATCTCATGGCTCATGGGTTCAAGCCCCATATCAGGCTCCAGGCTGACAGTGTGCAGCCTGCTTGGGATTCTCTTTCCCTCTCTCTCTGCACCTCCTCCACTTGTACTTTCTCTTGCTCTCAAAACTAAATAAATAAACTTAAAAAAAAAGGAACCCAATCATTTTTAAATAAAACCATGAAATCCACAGGGTTTCTACAATAGAAAAAATATGAAAATGGATTCGCAGGAAATAAGACAAGTTTAGAAATCCCTGAGCTCCAGAATGATACTGATGGCACTGCTCACCTCTGGTCTTCTGGTACACACTGAGAGTACAGACAAAAAGACACAAACTAAACTATAGTAACAGGTATAATAAATACCTACCAAGCTCTTTCCTCCATTGGGCTTTTTTTGCTTCCAACAAATTTCTATCACGTTCTCTTTCTCCCAGAGTACTGAATATGTCGCCTGGTTTCCATACATTCTCTCTGACACAAAAAAATAACAGAAACCTTATTATATGTTTTTATACGTTACCCATAAAGATTAAGTAATAAAGTTAACAGCTCTCAATCTTCACAGTAAATATTTCGCATGCAAGTCACGAAAAGCAGAACCATTTTCACAAGATGACCCCACAATAACAGATAGGAGTTACATACATGGCAATTTTCCGTTCATTCTGCTTAGATGTCTCTTGATTAACAGATTTATTTTCATCTAGGACAGATGAAAGAGCCTCGGTTTTTTGGAGTACTCCCATAGCATTCTCATCCTTTGGCTGATTAGAAATATTGTTTAAATGTAGACTCCCCTGACCTAGGGGGTAAAAATGCATGTTTTAAAATTAACGCTAAAATTACATGTATTACAATACCTTATCTTGGCATACTGCTACACACCTTAAAAACACTGCCTTAACATTATCAAAGTAATTACCTCTCACAGCAAGCCTTCAGTAGATATTATCATTCCCTTTTGCAAAAAAAGGAAACTGAGCCCAGAGGTTAAATGGTCCAAAGATATAGCGATAGCTATATAACCTCTTGTGTTAAATATGAAAACAAACAAGCAACAACAAAAAATCCTCCATTTACTCTTGCTGACAATATTTTTACAAATAATACAATACAAATCATAACTTAAAAGGAGAATAAATGCAAATAACTTTATGAAAAACTCATTACCCTGTCCTTATTTTTCTCATTTAGCTAGAAAATCAATGGGAAACTTTATTATGGACCATTGTCTCTATGCCTCTGGTATACCTATTTCAAATGTTTTATACAGGTTCCTATGCCTGGCTCAAAACCTGTTCTAATTCTTCCTCAATGTGCCAGTTTTCCCAGTGAAGAGAAAGCGTATTTAACATGCAGGCCAGTATATGATTAGACAAATTCTGCCTTCAACTTTGTTGATATTATCTCTCACTATGCATAATAAGTTTTTTATTTTTGTTCTCTAGGCCACAATTCTAGCCTCTAAAGACTTGGCTCCCTCATTTTGCAAAGAATAATCTAGACCAAGAGAAAGTAAAGCACTCCAATTTGTCCCCAAATCATTGTGGGGCCTCTTTCTGTTAACTGTTAATTTTAACTTCATTATTGCCTAACAACATTTTAATGATATTTCTACTCATATTAATTCCTGAGCTCAAAGGTGAAACCAGAAGACATTTAAAAACATAACACAATGCCCTAAAGAAACAGAAGACATGTAACACCACTACTCCTTCCAAGTCTGTGTTTTAAAGATTGGCTAAAAAGATAGTGCTGCCAATCCTCAGCATGGATCAAGAGTCAAAGAAGGCAAAACGCAGGGTCCAGGAAAATAATCCTTTTCAGTAACTCAAATCAAATATTCAAAGTAAAGGTTCCTTCAATTTTCACTAGAAATACTACAGTGGTCTTTTAGAACATTTAATAGAATACATAATAGAATTATTTTTAATGTAAGTAAAGCCTTCTATGTTCTAAAATAAGTACAAGAGCTTTCTGTACTAAGATCTAGAGTTCACAGAATTAGGTTTCTTAAGACTATGACACTATGATTGTAATGTTCTGAACGTTAACCTTAAAATGTGGTATATTATAACTTTACAAGTGATTCTGCATGAAAGGATGGTTCTCTTAAAGAATAATTATTTTAAAAGATTGTTACACAGTAACTTAGAATTTAAGAGGCACAGTTATGTAAAATCCAATGAATAAGAAATTCTAAAATATGTACATATTGATAAAGTTAATATTAATTAAAACTTCAGGAAAAAAAACCTTACATGTTTCCTCCTTTCCATTTTCAATCAGGGAAACACATCTATTCCCTTGGTTCACAGTCATCAAAATCTGTTGTAGTTGGTCTTGTGTTAGACACACCAAACTTCTCTTCATATTTTCAGCTGTGATGTGTTTTTGGCAAAGCTTCTCTTTAGATACTACAGGTGTATTTACGGTGTTTCTAGTCTTCTGTATTTTGGGGGTTGCAGGTGAAATCTCTTTCTGGACATAAAAACAGTCTTTATCTACATACTGCTTGCATAAATCCTTAGTAGGTGAAAAAGCCATACTATTTTCTTCACCTTTTGCCTGTGAAGTTTCTGAACCCATTCTCTTCTTTTGCAAAAGTTTTCCACTCCTGATACAAGTATTTTGTGTTGATTTTAAAATGTATCCAGTCTGTTTTGTTCTTAATGGACATTTTGCAATCTTGGTCTTATTTCTCATCTGTTAAAACATCAGAAATTAACTCTTTGTAACAGCCCATGAAAAATCAAACGATTTTCTTTATTTATACAGTCTGTGATGTCAGACCTCTATAATTTTTCCATTTTGCTGTTAAAAGATTATATCCGTGAGAAACTAACATTTAACCTTTGCAAATCTTCACATGACAGCTTCATCAACTGGAAATTATTATTTTATTTCAAGATAATGAATACAGAAGAACTTTTATTCTAGTTGTTACAAAACATCTTCATTCTCTCCAGCTTGGAATCTCATGTCATGATTATCCTACTCATACTACCTCTTCTTTATAGATCTGTGCATTAGCAACTTAGCTTAGTTATGCCTTGAATAATGTAACTTATGGGTCAACATCCCTCTAACGTTACTCCTGTCTTTTTTTTTTTTTTAATTTTTTTTTTTAATGTTTTATTTATTTCTAGGAGAGAGAGAGAGAGACAGCATGAGCAGGGGAGAGTCAGAGAGAGAGGGAGTCACAGATTGAAACAGGCTCCAGGCTCTGAGCCGGCAGTCAGCACAGAGCCCGACGCGGGGCTTGAACCCACGAACCGCGAGATCATGACCTAAGCGAAAGTCGGACACTTAACCGACTAAGCCACCTAGGCGCCCTGTCGTTACTCCTGTCTTAATTATTAGTGCTGTCATATCCACACAGACCATTCTTCCAATTCTCTGGCCTCTCATTTCCTTGAACTCTGCTCTTCTACTCTTGTCCTCCAAGCCACCTCAGTTATTCATTCCCATAGTGATTATTTTATACTGACCTAGTTACTAACTTGCAATCCCTCCATGATCTCAATCTGAATCATGGCACAATGACCAACACTCTCCTTGCATATCCCAATGCTGATACTTCTTTAACTCAGCTGGGATCTATAATCTATTGATCCTACTACCTTCCCCTGCCTTCGTTTCCTTCCTTAAATTCCACAATCAACAAAACTCACCATTGTCTTCCATTCCCACCTCCTTTGCTCTGACATATATACTTTGCAAATCCTCAGACTGGTAAAATCTAATTCTTCACCACCTACCCTGTGCCTGCACTCAAGAAGAAAAACACAAAGCCACAATATCTAGTTTCACCTTAAATAAATACATAGCCCCAAACAACATGCTACCCCACAAACATTTCCCAAATTCATTTACTTTTTTCTCCTCTTTTCCAAATTCCTAACACGTTCTATTTCACACTTACTCTCAGCTGAAAATCTTGATCAATATATCACTAAAAATCTTAGAGAGAAGCATTCAGAAGAAACTTCAAGAAATTTCTATCACCAAATCTGTACCAGCATTGGTACCCATACAAACTTGCCTGTACTCCTATTATTCACACATACTAGTATAACTCTTTCTTAGGGATCTCTCTAGAGCAATTCTTTGCTTTCTCCTGAATCATCAACTGTTTCTTTTCTGCTGGATCACATCTTTTTTTTAATCATCTTAAAAAATACATGATTCTACTTTCTCCTCTCATCTCCCATTTACCACAAGCTTTCACCCACACGACTACACCAAAACCACTCATCAAGGTCACTAATAACTTTTATGTTGCAAATCCGGTGACTGATTCTCAGATCCTCATCTTAACTAAACATATTAGCAGCATGTGACACAGTTGAGTATTCCTTCTACTTTGAACACTTAAAAAAAATTTTTTTAATGTTTATTTTTGAGAGAGACAGCACGAGTAGGGGAGGGGCAGAGAGAGAGAGAAGGAGACACAGAATCCAAAGCAGGCTCCAGTCTTTGAGTTGTCAGCACAGAGCCTGACTTGGTGATCCAATTCACAAACCGTGAGATCATGAGCTGAAGTTGGATGCTCAACCGACTGAGCCACCCAGGGGCTCCTACTCCTTCTATTTTGAATCACTTTCTCTACTTCACTTCCAGGACTCCGCAATCCTGGTTCCTCTTGCTTTTTATTTCCCCCAGACCTCTTAAAGTTGCTCAGTCCCAGGATCTCCTCTCTAAGTTACCTCATTCATTTAGTAATTTCATTTACCCTTGTGGCTTTAAATATTATCCATATGCTGATGACTCCCAAAGGTCTCCAGGATAGACCTCTTCCCTAACTTAAGGTTCCATCTGCCTGTCCAAACGCTTCCACTGGGTTTCTAATAGCCATTTAAAACTCAGCATGCCCCATATAACCTCTGAAAGGAATTCACAGTGACAAAAGTACATTATGCAGATAACTTCCAAACATTCTAATGTTTGTCACTGAAATATATACATTCCTGCAAAGTCAGCTATGAATTGTGTATATGTATGTGCACATACAGATTGAACAGGATCAAATAAAACTGTCTCTAATCACACATGCACACATACACACAAAGCCTCAGCATGCCCCAAATCAAACTCTTGATCTCCCACATGCCCCTAAAAAGCTTCCTACTTTCAGAGGAAACTACCCATGTCAAAAATTTTGGAATTATCCTTGACTCTTCTCTCATATGCCACACTGGTCATTAAACCTTGTTTTGCTCCATCTTCAAAATATATCTTGAATGTGACCACTCCTGAACATTTCTATTACCCTCTAATTCAAGCCATTATAATGCTCTTGCCTACTGAAATTATTACTGAAATTACTGAAAAGCCTGCTTTTCCTGCTTCTGCCTTCGCTTCCCAATCTGTTAGCACAGCAGCCACTGAGTACCTTAAAAGGGGAAGTTACATCATGTCACTTTCTTCAAAAGCTTCTAAGGGCTTCCTAACTTAGGAAAAAAACCTGAACTTCCTACTTCGACCAAAAAAGACCTAAAGATCTATGCACCCTTCAAATTTATTTCCTTATCTGATCTCATTTTATCTTAGCCTCCAGACACATGGGCTTCTTACTCTTTGAATAAGACTCTCCAGTTTCAGGCCTTAGCATTAGTCAATCCCTCTACCTGGGACATTCTTCCCTCATGGTTCACGTACTCACCTCCTTCAAATCTTTGCTCCACCATCACTGGCTCAATGAGGTCTTTCTTCTCTGATCACCCTATTTAAATTTGCAGGTTTCCTGTTCTCCCTCACAGCCTCACCTACCTAGCACTCCCTTTTCCAAAGACTGCTGTGCTCCTGAAGTGACTGTGCCTCTTCCCTTTCTCTTTTTCTCTATAGCACTTTTCATCTTGTGACGTTGTATATTTTGCTTACTCTATACCCATTCAATTCCTTTTTCTTTTATTTAACATTCATTTCTTTGAGAGACAGAGCATAAATGGGAGAGAGGCAGAGAGAGACAGAAAGACAGAGCTAGAAGCAAGCTCCAGGTTCCACACTGTCAACACAGAGCTTGACAGTGCTCGATCCCACAAACTGTGAGATTATGACCTGAGCTGAAGTCGACACTTAACCAACTGAGCCACCTATGGACCTCTATTCAACTAGTTTCTAATGTAAACTCGCTAGGGTAGATTTTTAATACTTTTTCTACTGTATAGCTCCAATACAGAACAATGAGTGGAACAAAGTAAGTACTGACTGAATTTTTTGTTGACTATCCTCAACTACGCTGTAAAGACTGAATTCTCTCCTCCATATTTATTCCCTTTTCCAAAATATCCTATTTCTGTGGCACTGTTGTTCTAATTTCTCAAACCAGTAGGCATGGTGTCATCTTTAACTTTATCCTCATTCATGGTCTTCTTTGGTTTATGAGCAAGTGTTGGTCATTTCTTCCTTTTAAACCTTTTTCTTATCACTTACATGATGATAAGCCTAAACTCAGGTTTTCATTACCACTCTACTAGATTACAGCCTGCCTATCTCATATCTTTCCTCCATTTAATTCACTATACATTTCAGCAAACCCAATTAACCTTAATTAATTCAACAGTCATTCAGTCACTATTAATTGTTGCTTTTTATGTGCTCACCAATACAGAAGAGTACTGGAGGTGTAAAGATGAAGAAGATACTTGCTGTCAAAGAGTAGGGTAGACTCCCCACGACTTTTACCTGGCTTATCATATCCCAACTCTCCTGGTCTTTCAGTAAGTTATAGAATATATAACCACATTTGGACCAATTAGCCATTCCTATTTCACCTGACTTTTCAAGATATACCTGCAGTATCAGCCACAAGATCTGTCTGTCATCCTCTTCACCTCATCCAAATCCTATTTGTTCCTGGTTTTAGGCTTGTGATAATACCAATACCACAACATAAAATATCTTTTACCCTCTCACCCCTGTGGCTATTTTAATGTAACTAATTCTCTAAATGAGAGATGGCAAACTCAAATACATACTGTGTGTAAATTAGGCTGGGTAGGAACTGAGATGAGATGACAAGCATTTTTCCACCTAAAGGAGGCAATCACCATCAGAACCAGCCCACACTGCCAAACAGGAATCTGAGTCTACTTGCTAGATCATCCAATATTTCAAGAGAACCAAAAAAGCCAGATTTTACATTAAATTCTCCAACATTTAGATACTGGCAACTCATTCCAGTTTTTGAAAACCACTCTGTGGATTAAGCAAATTATCAGCAGAATGCATGTAGCTTACACAGCTGAGCCCTCCCACCTCAGTCTCCAACTACAGCTCCTACTACCTCACCCTTCTTTGACTCATAGGGGCCTTTCTCTTGGTCACTAACAGTTGAGCATCTTGCTTCTCTAATCAGTTGCTCATCCAAACTATTAAGGGCAATGCATGCCATTAGCATATTTTGAAAGTCATTTCTGTCTCCTTCTTTCCATTTCACTAACCACCACCCATGTTCAAGAACTTTTAAGACTCTCCCTGGACTATACTTAGCCCATAACTGTGGTCTCCCCGTTACAATCTGTCCTTCATAGGGCTGCCCGAAGCCCTATTCTACAACACAAATTATATTGTACCTACTCTACTTTTCAAAAATTCTTCAATGCTCCTTATATACAAATCAAGGAAGTTCAAATTCTTTAAGTATACATTTGAACTGTTTAAGGGGTACCTGGGTGACTCAGTCAGTTAAGCATCTGACTCCCGATTACAGCTAGGTCACGATCTCAGTTCATGAGTTCAAGCCCCACATCGGACTCTGTACTGATGGCACAAAGCCTGCTTGGGATTCTCTCCCTCCCTCTCTCCAACTTAAACTCTTTAGGACTGAACTCTCCTCTTAGCATTATGATCTACACTTCCCTGAGATACACACTATGCCTCAAATGCAAATTATACCTTCTATCTTGGAATTTTGCCCAGTACTTTCTGAGCTCAGAATGCACTCCCCTACCTCTTTACCTATAAATATCTGCCTTATCTTTTACGTTCTAATTAAAATGTCACCTCCTTTATGAAGCATTCCCTGGTCTCTTCAAACCACAAAGCACTGCTCTCTACAGCGTTGTTTGCCTTTTATAACCCTACTGTAGTTTACATTATCCTACTACAGTACATATAATATTCTACTTGTATTATATAGTTATTTACCTGACCCCCCACCCACCCACTTCCAAAAAACAAAGACCAGGCTTTGCTCATTTTTTTCCTCTCAGTCACAGAAGCAATAAAGTCAAGAATGGCCCTCTACTAGAACTTTACATCTTCAGTAAATCCTTGTTAAATAAAAACCTACTGAGTAATGATCTAATTTAAATAGAATTATCCTGTAAAATTTCACTTAAAAAGAAAAAATAGACCAAAAAATCTTCTAAAAATATTTAATAAAATGGGAGGGGGGGAAGCAATGACCTGGCATGAGGTCAATATATATTCAGCTCAATTCTGATTGCTTTTTGTAGCTAAATGCCAGGGGAGGGAAAAAACAAACAAACAAACAAAAACCCAGTGAATGCAAGCAGCGAAAGATCATGAACTACCAAATATTCAATTATGTTCAAGTTACTTAATAAGAAAAACAAATCTAGACCAAATTCCAAGTGTTTACTAGACTAGATGAATTTTAATAGATCAAAATATATCAAGTCTTCATGTCAAAATTTTTTACATAGCCAATTTGCTTTTAAACTAGTTTTAATTCTATCAATACTTTTCATAATATAAACAATGTCCAATGAATTTGTTTAATACTGGCTGACTTTACTATTTATATGGGGCCAGGATGCCAAAGCTAGAAAGAATCACAGAAAAGTTAACATTTTAAAATATAAAATGTGCTACTTAACACTAATACTGTGATATCCTTTAGCATATCACTATTCTGCTTCTCACATGTAAAAATACCCATGAAAAAAATTTTCAATGTTTTATATTTCAATTAATTCTTGTGACAATTTCTTTTAATGTTTATTTTTGAGAGAGAGAGAGACAGAGTATGAGTAGGGTAGGAGCAGAGAGAGAGACACACAGAATCTGAAGCAGGCTCTAGGCTCTGAGCTCTCAGACAGAGCCTGACGTGGGGCTCAAACTCACAAACCTCAAGATCATGACCTGAGCCAAAGTCGGACATTTAACCAAGCCACCTAGGCCCCCAAGTGACAATTTTAAAAGTGTAAAAGTGTATTTATTTTGAGAGAGAGTGGGGGAGGGGCAGAGAAAGAGGGAGAGAAAGAGATTCCTAAGTAGGCTCCACACTGTCAGTGCAGAGCCCAACACAGGGCTCAAACCCATGAATCATGAGCTCATGACCTGAGCCAAAATCAAGAGTCAGACACTTAACCAACTGAGATACCCAGGCACCCAAAGTATAAGAGTTTAGAATTTATAAATTACTCATGACACCGAATCATTAATATTTCTTTCATTTCTCTTCCTAAAAGCTTAAGAAATTAAACTGGTAACCGTCTTTACTTCATATTCCTTACCAAAGATTTTTAAAAATGCAGGGGCACCTGGGTGGTTCAGTCGACTGAGCATCCAACTTCGGTTCAGGTCATGAGTTCAGTTTGTGAGTTCAAGCCCTGCACTGGACTCTGTGCTGGCAGCTCAGAGCCTGGAGTCTGCTTCAGATTCTGTGTTTCCCTCTTTCTCTGCCCCTCCCAGCTCTCTCTCTCTCTCAAAAATACACATTAAAAACAAAAAAATTTTTAAATGCTGTAGGGATTTTGAAAAATTAAAATAGTACTCTGACCACACATGTGTTAAACTTAATGATGATGAGATAAGAGACTTCATACAACTGTGTTTAAAGAGCATACTATGACCATGACAGTTCAACCTATGAGGAAAGGGAAAACCAGAACTGTAGGTAGGTGTTGTAGTCACTCAGAAGCTTCTCCCAGCAGAAGAAAAACACTATGAAGAGAGAATTCATGAATAACTAATGGAAAAGAGAATCCAACATAAAGCTGCAGAAATGAGATTTGGGAAATTAAAAACAGATTTAAGCAAAAAAAAAAAAAAAAAAGACAAGTAATACTGTTTTTGTTTTTTATCTTCTGTGAGGAGCAAGGAATGAGGAAGATCTCAGCAACCCTTTATTTCAAGGGAAGAGAAGCTCCTTGAAATAAAATCAGTCTAGAAGGGCTTAGGATTCATCAGTATTTTTTCCTCAGCTTTATTAAAGTAAAATTGACAATTAAAAATTGTATATATTTAGGGTGTACAACTTGATTTATACATACGCTGTGAAAGTCACCAAAATCAATAAATTAACATATCCATCACCTCATATAGTCACCATCATCAGTATTTTGAAGTTCCAAAAGCAAGAATAAAACCAAACAATTTGCTCTAAGACAGTAAATAATTTAAGATCAACACTGCTGAGACACAGTTACTCTGGAAAAAGGAATCCTAGAATAAAATATTTCTAGACTGCTAATAGAATCTTGTAATGATTCTATCAAAAGTCCAAGACTAGTAATTTTATTATAGGCATGAAAGGAGAGCCCCATTTGTTCCAGGCTGGTTAAAAAGACAATGAAATGTCTTCACAAAATGTAGTGACTGAAGCAAATCCATTAAGGACACTGATGGAAGAAGAAACAGGTGAAAGAAAATAGAGGGCAAAGAAGATGGAAGATGAAATCAACTATTACAAGTAGCTTTTTATCTAAGAGCTATAAAGGGGGTGCTGTAGTTGTTAATGTGACTAAAATAAAATAATTAGTTGCAATATTTTAGTAGAACAGGACCAGGAAAAATATATACAATTTGTATTCTGTGATTTAAAAAGCACGTAAGGTATACAGGTATATGCCATATTTAGAGAAAAATAATTTTTACAGCTAACATGTGGAATTATTGGTTATCATCACCCATTTATGAAGTGATTATTATGCTGGGTACTCAAGGAACATCACCTTGATTAAACCTGTAAAAAAGAGCAAAGCCATTAAGAGCTCGAAGTTGAAAAGTGCCACATCATCCAAATTAAGCTCAGTTCACAGAAACACAAAGACTTTAAGATGCTGCAAAGATAAAGGAAAAAAGAGGGCTACAGTGAATTATGGAAGAGGAGAGTTGAAATTTCTGCTGATATTAATCTAAACATGGAAAAAGATATAGGGTACAAAAGTATGATATCAAAAATTGTTAAAGTGGTAATGTATTTTGTAGAAAAAGGCACTCGGGGTTTCTGATAAAATTTTAAAAGGAAAATTATCATTAAGCTCAAGTATGATCTCTTAAAGGAGAAAGCAAAGTGCATGTAACAGTTTGTGAATCAAATACACTGCTTTGATGAGGGAAAATGAAATCTGAGTATGAAAAGAAAAATATTTTCATTCTAATTTTAACAAATATATATTTTTAAAGGTCTCAGGAACTGCACTGTCCAGAGTAGTAACTACTAAATTTGCATTAAAAACTTAGTTTTTTTAGTTTAATTTTATTTAAATTAAAAACTCACCTCCTTAGTCATACTAGCCACATTTTAAGTCCTCAATAAGCACATATGACTAGTAGCTGACTATCATGTTAGAAAACAATGATCTTAGAACATTTCCATCATCACAAAAAGATTTACTGAGCAGCACTGATCTAGAGAAAAATGTTCTATACAGCATTTTAAACCAAAAAATTACGATCCCATTTCTGTGAAAGGACCAGCCTGAAAGCAAGAGAACGGTAACTCCTCATCATTATCCCAAACCCACTGTAATAATTCTTTTCAAACCACTATAAAGAAAACCACACTGTACATTCAAAAATAGGTCAAGTCATTTGGCTTACCTTCACAGAATTTTTTGATTTACATTCTACAAAAGAAAAAAATAATTACTGAGCTGTCAAACAAAAACACACTAAGGCAGTCACAAAAGGAAATTTTAATTAGCATTGTTTTAAGAAGGTATTTAATAGAAATATTAACCCCAAAAACATTAACTTTAGGCCCTGTTTGAGTGTTCTAACTTTACAGAGTTCAAGAATTTCTGTTTCATTTCTATTATTTTCCGAGATAAAATTATAAACATATCAGAAAAAAAAAATTATAATAATGTGAATGAGAGGAGAACCAAAGTTTACTGAGTTTTAAAACTAATACTAAAAATGATTTTAGCAACTGTGGTCCTACTACAAATTTAATACATTCTTTACATACACATAATTACATAATTACATAAATTTCACCTAGATTATTCATTAGGCAACATATTAAACATGAAATATACTGGGACATTAAGTTTTATGAATAAATACTGACAGTGGTAAGGAGTGATGTAATCTGACTTTACTTGGCTAAAAATAAATCTGAAAAAGTGAAAACAGCTTTTGCAAAGTATCATTTAAATATTACTCTATTACAAGCATAAAGTATGAAAAGAATAATAAACTCATATAGGTTTTAGGTAGAACATTTTAGGTTTCTGGTAACATAGCATACCATATGGAGACAATATTAACTTGGTTTTTCCATCCAGTAATTCAGTTTCAAGCTTTAAACCATCTCTGCAAAATAAAAGAAAGTTGTTTGACATTTTTAAGAAACAGCAAAGTTTTAAACAGAAATGAAATGCTTATTTGAATGTTGACTATACTTTCTTTCCAACTTATACAAGAATTCTGTAAATATTAAAGCCACTTTTTAATTAAAAGCATTTTTCAATCCAAGATAAAACTAAACACTCAGGGAGAAAATTCCTGAAACTTTCCAATAATAAAAAAATTTGTTATCTTTAACATGAAACTTCATATTCTTACTGGTAAGGAATAAATTCAATTATCATACCATTATTTAACTCTTACAAATCTAGACTGGAAAAATTGCTGTTACCAAAACTCTCCACCTAAGTTAAAGGAGCAAAACATAGATCTATTTGTTTCATAATGATCTCATGACTAATACATTCTATGGCATGTGCTACATTGTTAATTTGAAAGTGACCGATAACACTGCCACCACGGTTATTAACTATTTGAGCATAGTGACACTTTGTTACTATCACAACAATAAATCTGTAATAAACTTTGGCTGTTATAATTTTTTTTTGGTTATAATTTATTTGCGCATGTCCTATGCAAAAGCACGAAGTTAACAGTAGACACTACCATGGTAACTTGTACAAGTCAAGGTCTTAATAAAAATTCCACTGAAAACAAAAATAGTCCACAATTCACTGTTTCCTAAGAACAGGTGTATGTCAATAAACATCAACTAAGACAAAAGTGATGTCCAAGAGACAAAATTAAATCCAGAGGACTAGCCAAGGAAAACAAAGGTTGAAAAAAAAAAGTCTCAACGGAAACACGAAACCGCAGTGTTGGTAAGTAGAGGAAATCAAAATACTTATTAAAATACTGGGGGGAAATGGGTTTTAAAAGTTTCCCTGTTGCAGAGTTAGAATACTCCATGTGTGCACGTTCGTGCAACTCAACAAACAAAAGAATGAAACCGAAAAGAACGTCTGTTCAGTATTACTGCACTGTAAGCTCCTTCAGGGGCAGCCGGTCTTATTTTTTCTCTCCACAAGTTCTAGAGTACAAAATTCATTTGCTAAATGACGTGCAGTAGTCTGAGTTTGGTAACTTTTCATCTTCTTAGAACATTAACTTCCTATCACTTCCCCGCAACAGTCCTTTCTACTCAACAAACTTAATGACGGCTCAAGACTCGGTTCTCCGCATTCCCGGCCGGCGTTAAACCCCCCAGGGCGCTCCGACTACCCGCAGAGACGCCAAAGACAGAGGCCTGGGCCAGGATTTCTCCCCGGCAAGCCGCTAAGCTTTATCTCTCCCATCTGCCCTCACCGCTTATCGCCTTTCCTCCTTCACCACCATGAGGTCAATGAGAGGGCGGAAAGGAGGTCCTGACAGATCTACTGCGAGAAAGGATGTGCAAACGCGGCCGCGGCATGGGCGGCAAACGCCTACCGGGCCTCTCGTCCCCTCTCCGCCTCAGGCAGCCGGGCAATGCCTTTTGAGGTGGCGCGGAAGATGTTCCACGAAGGATTCCAAGGACCAACCTCGCCTCACCCTCTCTCTGCTGCAGACCACCCTTGTTGCCCCGGCTTACCCTAAGTTCATGGCCTGAGCTCTAGCTCTCTCCACCGCCGCTCAAGTCACCTGTGTGTGCCGGTTGCCTACGCCACTCAACAAGCGCTACGCCAATTGGATCCGGTGATGCCGGCGAGCTGGGACAACAGACCAATCAGAATTAGTCGTGCTGGCGGGTGGCTCTCAGTAGGGGCAAGGCAGACGCGGAGATCCGCCGGGTTATCCTGGCCCCAGGCCCTCCGCCCTCGCCTTTGGGTACCGGGGTTCTTCGTTCGTCGTAGTTGTAGACACACCACCCCCGGCGCTTTGCCCCGAGTTCACTCGAAGTCCACAGAGAAGTGCCTCGGTTCAGCTGGAGGTGGCAAAAAATATGGAAAAACAAAAAGTATAAGCTGTTTTAGGAAGTGAATATTTGCAATATTTTATATTTGTAAGAAAGACTTATTTGGGGAAAAAATAAATGTGGAGCAGGGTGCTGGGGAGAGACTCGTAGATCCGGTACAGGGTTTGTCCCGTTTCTGGCTCGGATCTCCGCAGGAAGCCTAATGCATTGTAACTCTGAATTGCAGCAATCACAAGTACTCAATAAATGCAGCTCTTTTGTGCCAGACTGGGAACTAAGCGCTTTAAGTCTATTATATGAGCTTTACAACATTATCTCTGAGTTGCATAGAGGTTAATCAAACAATTTAACCCCGGAGCCCGTGTTTTGAACTAGTGTTTTATGAGTCTAACTGCTGTTTGTTCTTGAAAATCTAAATGTAAGTGTTCTTCCTCCAAGAACTTCCTCTGGAATCCACTAGTGGGTAAATCAGGAAACCCATTTTCTGGAGCCCCCAGTCCCTGCCCTTTTGATCAGGGTACTAATGCGTTTAAGATACTGTGTCAGAGTGAGCTTCCGAGGGGCAGGCAGTTGGTATCTCATATACCTCCATAGGTACAGCGTAGACAGTAAATAATTGTTAAATGAAAGAACAGCAAAAAATTTAAAATGCTAACAACTTTATTAAATTTGACTGAATGCTATTTCATGATGAGGATTGTAATGCAGTTTACTAAAAGTTCACAGGTTTTTCTTCTGCTCATACGATTTTTACATAGTTAAGAAATGAGGCACATTGAATTCTCATCAGTATCTTCACTGAAAACTCAGAGATCTTTTAATGTTCATTTGTGTATCTGGTCTGTGGAAGATATACTTTAAAAACATTTGTTACTATACTTGACTGAATAAATGAACAGGAACCAGAGTACATTTGTTCCGTGTTTTGCTTTGTTCTGTTTTAAGAAACATTTATCTAGGCATGGGGGTGGAAAGGCTAAGAGGATTTAAACCGACATGTTAACAGGAGTATTTCTGGGAGATAGAGTGCTATGACTTTTAAAATGTTACTTTGGGGCACCTGAATGGCTCAGTCAGTTGAGTGTCTGACTCTTGATTTTGGCTCAGGTCATGATCTCACAATATGCGAGATCAAGCACTTTGTCAGGCTCTGTGCTGACAGCTGGAGCCTGTCTGGGATTCTCTCTCTTTTCTCTTTGCCCCTCCCCCTACTTGTGCACTCGCATGCTCGGGCTCTCTCTCTCTCTCTCTCTCTCTCTCTCTTTTTAAACATAAATAAAAAAAATGTTTATTTATTATGAAATAAATAAACATTTCAAAAATAATGATTATAATAATAGTTAATAGGATCTGGCATAATGAGAGATTGCTAGAGAAATAAAGAGAATAAGAAATAATAAGAAATAAAGAGAACTCTAAAAAATACAGGAATAACAGATATAAAGAGCAATTTAGACAAAACCCTCAAGGAAGAGCCACATTGCCCCACAGGACTGAGATCCAGACCTTACTGGAGATCATGGCCTGGTTTATGCCAGGGAAATATTGCCAGAAATCTATCCTCTAGGTTACTGGGGGAATCTGTTCACAGAATCTTACCAGAGGCCCGGGACTACAAAACTGCCTGAGGGGGTTGCTCAGAGAAGCTGCTGATGGCCGAGTGCTGCTGAAGATGCTGCCATGTGGCATGAGCCTGATGTTGGAGAAGCTGCCAGTGCTGAACCTGGAAACTGGGAGAAGCGTCTTCCACTGAGATATTGGATACCAAGAAGCCTAACAAGTGAATACACTGGAAGCAAGGACAGGATTCTTTTCTACTGCAGTGTCTCTCCAGCCCCCTCTAATAAGAAATCTTAGGGATGTCTGGGTGGTTCAGTTGGTTAAGCATCCAACTTCCGCTCAGGTCATGATTTCATGGTTCACGGGTTCCATCCCCATGTCGGGCTCTGTGCTGACAGCTCAGAGCCTGCAGCCTCCTTTGGATTCTGTGTCTACCTCTCTCTCTGACCCTCCCCTGCTCATGCTCTGTCTCTCAAAAATAAATAAATGTTCAGGGCGCCTGGATGGCTCAGTCTGTTAAGCGTCTGATTTTGGCTCAGGTCATGATCTCATGGTTTGTGCGTTCGAGCCCCACATTGGGCTCTGTGCTGGCAGCTAGCTCAGAGCCTGGAGCCTGCTTCAGATTCTGTGTCTCCCTCTCTCTCTGACCCTCCCCTGCTTATGCTGTCTCTCTCTCTCAGAAATAAATAAAACATTAAAAATAAATAAATGTTTAAAAAAATTTAAATAAAATTTAAAAAAAGAAAGAAAGCTTAACATCTTATCAGCTACAAAGGAAAACATATTTAAAGGGCCCAGATCCATTTTACATAAAAAAGATGAATTTGAAGCTGAGTCAATAAGTTGATAACTGAATTATATTTTTGATACCAACCAAGGCTTTCACTAATACCATGAATTTAATACCAATAGAACAGTCTTTCAGCAAAGAACTATATCACAATACTGAGGTTCATTCCATGATCTAATGGACATTGAATACCAACTGATACAGGTATGGATAAGCCATCTTCTGCTTGAGAAGATTACATATTTCAGGTGGTTTTACATATTGCTGTCCATCTTAGAGTTCATCAGTTTAATAGCACTCTCCTTGAAATATACTATTTGTGTGACCAATTTATATTCTTAATAAAAACTGATTTTTTAAAAAAACATTTATTTATTCATTTTGAGAGAGCCAGTGAGCATGAATGGGGGAGGGGCAGAAGGGGAGGGAAAGAGAATCACAAACAGGCTCTGCACTCTCAACTCAGAGTCTGATGTGGGCTCCACCGCACAAACTGCGAGATCATGACCTGAGCTGATATCAAGAGTCAGACACTTAGGGCACCTGAGTGACTGAGTCAGTTAAGCACCCAACTTTGGCTCAGGTCATGGTCTCACAGTTTGTAAGTTTGAGCCCCACATTGGGTTCTGTGCTGACAGCTCAGAGCCTGGATCCTGCTTAGGAACCTATGTCTCCCTCTCTCTTTGCCCCTCCCAGCTTGTGCTGTCTCTCTTTCTCTCAAAAATAAATAAACATTAAAAATAAAAAGAGACACTTAACCATCTGAGCCACCCAGTTGCCCCTAAAAACTTATTTTTTAAAAAGAATTATATATAGTGCAATCCCTATCAAAGTAACACAGCATTCTTCACAGAACTAGAACAAACAATCCTAAAATTTGTATGGAACAAGAAAAAAACCCCAAATAGCCAAAGCAATTCTGAAAAAGAAAACCAAAGCTGGAAACATCACAATTCCAGACTTCAAGCTAAGTTACAAAACTGTCATCATCAAGACAGTATGGGACTGGCACAAACACAGACACTCAGATCAATGGAACAAAATAGAGAACCCAGAAATGGACCCAGAAACATATGGCTAACTCATCTTTGACAAAGCAGGAGAGAATTTCCAATGGAATAAAGGCAGTCTCTTTAGCAAATGGTGTTGGTAAAACTGAACAGCAACATGCAGAATAATGACCCTGGACCACTTCTTCACACCATACACAAAAATAAACTCAAAATGGATGAAAGACCTAAACATAAGACAGGAAACCATCAAAATCTTAGAGGAGACAACAAGCAACAACCTCTTTTACCTCAGCCACAGCAACTTCTTACTTGACATGTCTTTGGAGGCAAGGGAAACAAAAGCAAAAATGAACCATTGAGACTTCATCAAGATAAAAATCTTCTGCATAGCAAAGGAAACAATCAGCAAAGCTAAAAGGCAAGGGAAGAAATGGGAGAAGATATTTGCAAATGACATATCAGATAAAGAGTTAGTATCCAAAATCTATAAAGAACTTATCAAACTCAACACCAAAAAACAAATAATCCAGTGAAGAAATGGGCAAAAGACATGAATAGACACTTCTCCAAAGAAGACATACAGATGGCTAACAGACACATGAAAAGATGCTCAACATCACTCATCATCAAGGAAATATAAATCAAAACCACAAGGAGATATCCCCTTACACCTATCAGAATGGCTAACACTAATAACTCAGGCAACAACAGATGTTGGTGAGGACGTGGAGAAAGAAGAACACTTTTGCACTGCTACTGGGAATGCAAACTGGTGCAGCCACTCTGGAAAACAGTATGGAGTTTTCCTCTAAAACTTAAAAATAGAATACCCCATGACCCAGCAGTTGCACTACTAGGTATTTATCCAAAGGATATAGGAGTGCTGATTTGAAGGGGCACATGCACCCCAATGTTTATAGCAACACTATCAACAATGGCCAAAGTATGGAAGGAGCCCAAATGTCCATCGAATGATGAATGGATAAAGAAGATGTGGTAAAAAAAAAAAATAAAAAAAAATAAAAATAAAAAATAAAAAAAAAAAGGGGCGCCTGAGTGGCTTAGTCGGTTAAGCGTCCGACTTTCGCTTAGGTCATGATCTCGCTGTTCGTGGGTTCGAGCCCCGCGTCGGGCTCTATGCTGACTGCCAGCTCGGAGCCTGGAGCCTGTTTCAGAGTCTGTGACTCCCTCTCTCTCTGACCCTCCCCTGCTCACGCTGTTTCTCTCTCTCTCTCCTAGAAATAAATTTAAAAAAAAAAAAAAAAAAGAAGATGTGGTATATATATACAATGGAATATTACTCAGTGATCAAAAAGAATGAAATTTTGTCATTTGCA